CCAGCCCAGCCTTCCCCTGGGGCCACTTGGGCTGGGCGAGGTGACCGCAGCTGGGTATTTTGGGAGCCAGAATCACAGGGGCTGCCCCCCTCATTATGTGGGCCCATCCCTGTGGCCATGGTGTGGACCCGCCCGAGGCATGGCCTGGGGTGGGTGTAGGACTGACCCGGCCACGAGGGCCTCATCCTTCAGCCCCTCCCTAGCCTTGTGCCCTGGCTCCAGCCAACGTGGGCACTGAGGAGGTGACCATCCCAGGGTTTGGCCCTTGAGGGGGACCCTTCTGCACTGGAGGAGTTCAGATTCTCATGGGAGAAACAGACGCTTAGTAATTAACATTCGCACTTGACTTGCAAACTGGGGTAAATGCCGCGGATGGGCATAGGCATTTGTGAGGCCGTGGGATGTAGAATGGGGGTGGGGGCTGACCTTCGAGGGGCAGGGAGGGCTTCCACAGGAAGTGACAGTGGAGCTGAGATGGGTCACGCGGTAGTAGGGGGAACAGCATTCCCAGCCAAGAGCACAGCAGGGTCAAAGGCTTGGAGGTGGGGCTGAGCTGGGGCTGCATGGCTGCACCTCCCACGAGAGGAGGGGGCGAGATCAGCAGGAGTGGCTTCCTCTGGGGGTGATGGGAGCCACGGGAGGTGTTAGAGCAGGGCAGGGGCCAGCAGGTATGCTTTGGAGGAAGATCTGTCTGGTGGCCAAATGGGTCCTGGTCAAAGGGACAGTCGGCAGTGTTAGCTGGAGCTGCATCCTGTGGGACGCTCAGCCTGCGAGGGATGAGAAATTGGATGTTCAGAGCAATTTCTAGAGCTGATGCTCAGTCCTGGTGTGGGGCTCCATCCGGGGTCAGGAGCTTGGCCAAGGGCTGAGGTCTGGCTTAGCTGGGATCAGGACTCAGCAGCGGTGGAGGCCATCTCGGTCCGTTGGGGCTGACATGACAGAATGCGCTAGCCTGTAGGCTTATAAACAACACACATATCTCACGGTTTTGGAGGCCAAAAGTCCAAGATCAAGGCACTGGCAGATTTGGTGTGTGGTGAGAACCCACTTCCTGGTTCACAGACTACCGTCTTCTCGCTGTGCAGTCAGGGAGCTCGCTGGCGTCCCTGTATAAGGGCACTAACCCCGTTCACGAGGGCTCCACCGCATGACCTATCACCTCCCAAAGGCCCTGCCTCCTACCACCATCACACTGGGCGTTAGGTTTCAGTATAATAATTGGGGGGTGCACAATTCAGTCCGAAGTAGGGGCTCAGAACTTTCTTTCTGCCCTGTCATCACTCCATGACCCTCCTCCATGGTCCTGGGACCCTCTCCCCCTCATCCCGTGACTCTCCTCTGTCCTTCTGTGATCCTCCCGCCACCTCCCCCGCGAAGGCCCCCGGATTCCTCTGCGCCCCCTCTGACACTTGGCTTTGTCTTTCTGCAGACACTGCCCCGTCTGACACTTGGCTCAAGGCTTCTCTTTGAGGGACCGGGGGCCATCCCCCTCCAGGGCGGAGGTCGGAGGTTGCAGGTCGCTGCTGAGCATGGCGCCTGCCTGGGGCCATGGTCTGGCGTCTGTGGTCAGTCCCGTGGGCCTCCTTGTGGTCCTGCTGGTTGGAGGCTGTGCCGCAGAAGGTACGTACGGGCATATGAGTTTGCATTTTACATGTGCGAGTGTGAACACGTGTCCCCACCTCCTCAGCGGGGCTTTGCCAAGCCAAGCCTCTGTGCTCCGTAAATGGGGCTAGTAGAATGCTTGCTATGCACTGGGTCCTGAGAGGTTTAGAGGAGAATAACAAGGATGGTATTAAGAAGCAGTTATAGTAACGATGATGACGATGTCCGTCTCCCCAGCAGCAGCTCTGCACCCAGCCCGGTGCTAACTGCAGGCTTTACCTGCTTCATCTCCCTCCGCCTCACCGAACCCAGCATGCCATTCCGTTACCGTCCACGTTTTTTGACAGGAGAAGCTGAGGCTCAGAGTGGGCAGGGACTTTCTTGAAATCACTCCTGAGTGAGCTACAGAGTTCACCTTCTCTTACCACAGGTAGAAACACTAGCCCCCAGTTAGTAGACACACAAGCAATCAGACCTCAGGCAGAGCCAGGGGAGGCTTCTTGGGAGAGAGGGCACTGGAGCTGGGATTTTGTGGGTGTATAGAAGTTTGCTGATGGAAAAGGCATTACTCGCAAAGGTGTTAGTACATGCAAAGACCTGGAGGTGTAGAAAGACGTTGGTGCAGTTTGGGGATGGTCACGGCTGTGTTTCTGGCAGTAACATGGAAAGGATGAAGGTTAGTCCTGGGCCCAATGCCAAGGTCTGTCCCACCACAAGGGGCCCGGAGGAGGTATCACTTAGGCACTTAGGCCCATGGGGACACCAAGAGTCAGGCCAGCAGAGAAAGAAACTGGGATCTGCTGTTAATCTGGGTTTGAATCCTGTGCTGCCAACCTGCTGTGTGACCTTGGGCTAGTGATTCAACCTCTCAGTGGGATGGAGCTGAGAGCATTCTCATTTATAGATGAGAAAACTGAGGCTGCAAAGCGGCCATTGTGATGAGGGGATGGAGATCACAGGGTTGGGAGACTCTCCTCGCCTGGGTTTGAATCCTGGCTCTGATGTGTGACCTCGGGGTGGGTCTGTGCGCTCGTGTATTCGGTGGGTTTTTAATAAGCACCTACTGTGTGCCAGGCACTGGTTTAGACCTGAGGGACAAAACAAATATCCCACCCCCTTTCAGAGGTGGTAATCTCGTGAGGGAGAGACACCCACTGCGCTGGCTGGTAGATGTGCCTGGGAGCAAGATAAGCCAAAAGGGAGATGGAGGTGGAGGGTAGTTGGGGGCTGCATTTTAAATGGGTGGGAGGGCATTGAGGGAGTTTGCAGCGAGGAAGTGGCATCTGAACAGAGACCTGAAGGAGCTAAGGAGTGTAGCCCATGGGTATTGGGGGTGGAGAAGGGTCCTAGGCAGAGGGCACGGCTGGTGCAAAGGCACTGGGGCAGGACCACACCTGCATATTGGAGGAACAGTGAGTAGGCCTTTGTGGCTGGAGCTGAGAGAGGCAGAAAGTAGGGGTAGGGAGGAGACAGGACAGGTCAGGCAGGGTCTTGTGGCCTGAAGGAGGACTTGGGTTTTTGCTCCCAGGGAGGTAGGAGTCCTGGAGTGTTGTGGGCAGAGGAAGGATGCTGGGACAAGACCTGACTTAGGTGCCCACAGGTCCCTCTGGCTGCTGAGGGAGGACAGACTTGGCAGGGGGTGGGGACAGGATGAGGGGAGCCAGGGCAGAGGGGACCACACTGGTCCAGGTGAGTCATGGGGGAGTGTGAGCCTGGGTGTCGGCACTGAGCATGTGACTGGAGCTAGCTCAGTGGGTCTCCCGCAGAGAGCCCTGTGGTTGTTACTACCGTATTCCTGTAGGCGCTGGTAGTGGCCTAGACTCAACCCCAGGCCTCCATCTCCAAAACTGGGGCATCTTGAGCTGAGTAGGTGGTCTGTTTAACAGGAACCCTGTCACCTGGGAGGTCAGTCGGGGGGCTTATGGGCACTGTGATTGGCACTGCCAGCTTCAAAGAGTAGCCGAGGTCCTCAGGAAGCCATCTGTGTGGGGGCTATCAGGCCGTAGAGAGCTCAGGCAGGCAGCTCCAGTGTCCACCAGTCAGCATCAGGAGGAGTGATTTCCGCCCTAGAAACAGCTTCTGGTCCTCTGGGACCTTCCCAGGGTGCTGTGCGGCCAGCCCAGGCTGGGTTGGAGGGGACGGGTGGGTGAGTCTCCAGCTCTGCCACCAGATTCTTTTTCTGCAGAATTTGAAATGAAAAAACAGAAATCAGGCCAAACCCTTCCCAGCCTCCATGCTGTTGGCATCACCACTCTGAACCTCAGTCTCTTCATCTAAGAAATGGGAACACCCAGGGTGCTCTCCATCATTGAAGACCTACAACCTTGTTTGTATAAGTACTGCATGCTAACCGATTGCACAACTGGAGCTCCCCACAACCCTGTTTATCAAGTGTACTATTTGCAGGGTCCAGACGAGACTGGGTTGGAATCTCAGCTCTTGCCCATCACAAGCTGGGTGACTAGGGGCCAGTCACTTGCCCTTTCTGAGTGTGAGAACACTGCTTTTGTGCTGGCCATACCCCAGTATGTCTTTCTTGTGTCTGGGGCCTCTTTTCCAAGAAGGGGAGAGAAGGGTTTGTCCAAGTGAGAGAATCTACCTGTCCACAAGAAATATTCTGATGGGGTATGCTGCAGGCCGAGAAAGCTCTTCCAGGATGTCTGGGATCCCAGAGCTGCCCGGAGATGTCTGCCCTGCAGAGAGAGGGTGCCAGGGAGCGAGAGGGCAACTTCCCGGCCCAGTTGTTAGGCAGGCATCAAGGTTCAGAGCCCCATTTTCTCAAGGGTCTCCAGGCACAGAAAGGAGGGGTGATAGAGTCCCAAAGAGTGGGGTCCCAGATGGCACATAACCAAATATCTCAGCCCAGTGTGATCAGAGCCAAACGATGGGGACAGAGGGGGTCCTGACCCGGCCAGTGGTAATCCAAGAAGGCTCCCCAGGGGACGTGCTGGCCGAGCTGAGGTTGAAGCTGCCAGATGAGAAGGGAGGAGGAAAGAAAGCACAGGCTCCCCTGGGAGCATCTCGTTCCCTGGATTGGAAGGGGCTCGGGGTGTGTCCCTAGCTCCAAATCGTGAACAGGCAGCCTGCTCCAGCCCTTCCTTCCAGTGGCTCCCGAAGGAGGATTTTCCCAGAAGCAAGATTCCTAACGCAGCCACAGTGACTTTCCCCTATGACCTTGGCTGGGGACCCCTATGGCCCCAGTCACCATTCCTGGAGGAAGGGCACCCCGTGCAGGCAGACCCAGGGAGGCGAGCCCAGCCCCAGGCTCAGCGTGGAGCAAAAGCATGTCGATCAGGCTTAACTTGGCCTGGAAGTGATAGGACCACAAGATGTGGGGTTGGGGACAGATAGACCTGGGTTCGAACCCTGGTGCTGTCATTTCTGAGCTGTGTGACCTCGTGCTAGCTCATTAGCCTCCCTGAATCCATAAAATCCTATCTGTACAGTGAGATTAACTCTCATCACCTCAGTAGCATACCTAGGAGTTGAATGAGGCCACACATGCCTGCACACAGTGGGTCTACCGATTTCCCAGAGAAACAGCCAGTGTAGCCTTACATGGCCACAACAGTAGAAGCACAGCCTTGAATGAGGGAGGCGAGACCAGGCAAGCCACTGGGACAGGGACTCCATTTCACTCAAAGCCCAGCCTGAATCACGGATGGGAGAAACTGTGGTCTGTAGGCACCCAGACTTGGCACCTGAGGCCTCCTTGAACTTCTCAGCGCTTCCAAGCAGCTAGAACTTTCTAGGTGGACCCACGTGGGTCAGTGCTCAGAGACCTGGCGTTGCTCAGACTTGACTTGTTTGTTCTCTCTCTGCCTCTCTTCAGACCCCAAACTCTTACTTACTCAATATTTTTCTTTAATTGGCTCACCTTTTAATTCAAACCTTAGAAAAATAACAATTTCAACTTAACTCCAAATAGTTCTAAATCTAAAAAAGTTACCAAGGTATGAAGCCTCCTTCCCCCTGTGTCCAGCTGCCTGGTTTCTCTTTCCAGAGGCAGCTGTTGTTCCTACACACACACACACACACACACTCACTCACACGTACTCACTCACTCACTCACACTTTTCCCATTTTCACTTTTCTCATCACACAAACAGAAGCATTTGCTGCACTTTTTTATCCCTCATTTTTTGTCCACTTTATATCTTGCTATTCCTTCCCTAGTAGTTTATTACAAAGGTATCCTTTGTCCCTTTTATAGCTGCATAGTATTCCACACTGTGGGTGGCCATTTAATCACCCGCTTTGGTTGGATACACAGGTCATTTCTTTTGGGACCTTGTAAGTATGTTGCAGCCCTTGAGTCTCTTAGCAAGAATCTCAGTAGTAACTGAATTCATTTTGAGGGATAGATTGTTGCATTCCTATGAATGGAAATCCAGTATCCCTTTGGGCGATTCAAAGGTTACTATGAAAAGTCAATAAAAAAAGGAAACAGTGCTAATACCCTCACTGGCTACTGCAGCCTGTCCAGAGGTAGAGGCCTGAGGCTGTCTAGGTATTAAAGACACGGTAGCTCCCACTTGAGACTTTTCTGGAGAGACTTAGCACGTCAGATCACCACGAGGAGCCGAGGATGTGGGCACCGGAGCCAGCCCGGTTCAGATATGCGCTCAGCCACCGGCGGGCTGTGTGTCGAAGCACGTATCTTGCCTGGTCTGTGCCTCAGTTTTCTCATGTATAAAATGAGAATTATGATGGCCCTGCCCCTCAGCACCAGCCAGAGGATTTGATGTACTGAGTGTACACTACCTGCATACACTAGGCGCTCAATAAGCACTTGCTCTAGTGGTTGTTGGCATCCAGTCACCCGTCCTGAGCTTCAGCCTCCAGCTTGGACCCCTTGGGACACCTCCCACGGATTAAGAGGCTGGAGCCCTGGGTTCGCAGGCTGGCTCTGACCTCAGATCCCTTGGTCACTGCCTGCCTCCCTGTTTGATGCCTCAGTCTCCCCATGTGTCCCACCGGGGGATTAGACCATTATCAACTCTCTCAATTATTTTCAGGGCAAAGGACCCTCCAGGGTTTGGCCAGTCATTACTGAGGGCCTCTAGGTGCTGAATTTGGGGGACCCCAGAGTCTTGGGGGTCTCCCCACCCACCATCCCTTGTGGCACTGGGTCTGAGCGGGTGTGCCCACGTGAGGTTGTGTCGCGTTTGAGTGTGTGTGGCTGTTTTATGGGTTTGGGGAGATGGGGGTGCTGGATGGGCTTCAGGGTACCCACAGGTGCCAGTGGTGGGGGTGGAGGGGTTCAATGCCAACATTTCTCCTCCCTCCTCCCTCCAACCCTCCTGTCGGGCCCACGTGGTGCCTCTGTGGCCGGACAGGGGATGGTGGGCATGTTTGCAGGGCTCAGGGGGGTCCTGATCCCATGCCCGGGCCCAGCAGAGTCCCTCCTCTTCCTGCTCTATCCCCAGAGCCCCCCAGGTTCATCAAAGAACCCAAGGACCAGATTGGTGTGTCGGGGGGTGTGGCCTCCTTCGTATGTCAGGCCACGGGAGATCCCAGGCCTCGCGTGACCTGGAACAAGAAGGGCAAGAAAGTCAATTCCCAGCGCTTTGAGGTGAGCCGGGGCAGGCGGCAGGGCGGGGTGGGGGGAAGGCAGCTCGGGGCCAGCCCCACCCCTGGGCCATGGAAGCCTTCCGAGAGACCTCACCCGAATGATGGGGAGGCGGGTATAGCTCAGTGGTGGAGTGTGTGCTTAGCATGCAGTTCAATCCCCAGTACCTCCAATTAAAAAAAAAGAAAATTAAACGTTCCCCAGGTAGGACGTGGGCCTCTAGGGCTGGGCACCCTGTCCAGCCAGGGCACCTCTCTTCTCCCACCCCCTCCCTGTCCTACGACCCCACCTGCCTGCTCAGTGAGGGCCCTGCGAGGCTCGCTTGCTCTGCCGCCTTTGTGCTGTGTGGCTTGAAGCCATGCCCTGCTCTCTCTGAATTTTATCTCACCGCTGCACAGAGAAGGACAGCTCTGTACCCATGTATGTGGTCGGACACACACGTTCCGGTGTCCCTTCGCACAGTGCCTGCCACACAGATTTATGTGTGCGCGTCACACGCCCACTTCACACCATACCCTTTACTTGGACAGACCCGGTTTTCCACCTCCAGTGTGTTTACACAGACATACACACATGGGTGGACAGCCCCCAGCTCCTCTCCTGTCACCCTGGCCCCAGCCTCACCCTGGCCTTCTCCCCTAACCGCAACAGACGATCGAGTTTGATGGGAGCGCAGGGGCCGTGCTGAGGATCCAGCCGCTGCGGACACCGCGGGACGAGAACGTGTATGAGTGCGTGGCCCAGAACTCCGTCGGGGAGATCACGGTCCATGCCAAGCTCACTGTCCTCCGAGGTATTGGGGTTGGGGACCCTGGGGCGGGGTCGGGGGAGGAACTGGGTCCTGGACTTCAGGGACAAACGCTAAAGGGAATGTCTTGTTTTAGATTTTTTCTTTCAGGGGGGACATTGATCTCCTTTTTCCAGCCCATATTACCGCTGGGGCCCAGAGCTTGCTGGGAGTGGTTTATTGAGCCTTTGCAGAAAAGAGGAGTGCTATGGGACTAGAATCACGCCCATTTGTCATCTTCATCGTGCTTTTGTGATTACAAGAGGCTGGTCCAACTCAAACTGAGATTTCATTGGCTTATGCAATTAAAATGTCTGTGGAGCAGCTAGCTTCAGGTTCAGCTGTATCCAAGAGCCCACATAATGTTGTCAGAGCTCACTTTCTGTCTCTGGGTTTGTTTTCTTCCATATCAACTGTATCCTCAGTGAGATTCCCCGCATTAGCTCCAGGCTTCTGCCCCCTACCCTCCCCAAACACAGAAAAGAAAGGACTGAATGCCCCAGAACTGCTGCTCGTTGGCCCCGCTTGGGTCAGGTGGTTACCCCTGAGCCGGTCACTCGGGCAGGAGGAACAGATACTCTGGTTGGCAGAGTCCTCCCTGGAGCCAGGGGCGTGTCAGCACGTAGATGGGGTCAGTAAGTGGTGGTTTCCCCAAAGGAACGGAGGAGGGTTAGAGGCTGGCTAGGCAGAAACAGCTAATGCTACCTGCCCACACATTCACGGGGAACCTTTGTGGGGGCTGCCTGCTGGCCTCACTCAGGTGGGCTGCGGGGCACCAGGAGATTGCTTCCTTATTGTAAAGCAGCATCGTTCAGACGGTCTCACCAGTCTCGCCACAAACCCGCCCCTCTCCCTCCCACCACCCCTCCCCCTGGCTGCTCCCTACTGCCTTGTCCATTGTAACCCAGGGGCTTCAACTGGGGTTCACATCCTGGAGCTGCCACCCTGTAGCTGTGTGACCTAGGGCAAGTTAATGAGCCTCTCTGAGCTGCAGTTTCCTCATTGGGATAATAATGCCAGTTACCCCAAGGGAGTGTGACATGAGCCGCTTGAGTGGACGATACAGATGCGGTGCCACGTGGGGAACAAGCATTTGGTGGATCCTACCTTCTGGTATTATTATCACCATCATTATTATTCTAGTTGTAATAGGACAGCTGCCACCAGCCCTTCTGCAGCTGTCAGGTGGGTGGCTGGGTTCTGCCTGTCGCCTTCAGGGCCACCCTGACCCTCTCTGATCTATAAGTACAAGCCACAGCCAGCCATTAGAGGGCAGGTGGCCCCCACGTGTGGCTCCCAGGTTAGGAGCCTTCCAGCATCCTCCCGTGGTCAGCTGGGAGCCCTGCGAGCAGTCATCGCACTGGCCGCGGGGGTACTTTGTCCCAGACCCTGGTGTGCATCCACACTCAGAAGGCTCTGCCATTGCCTCCTGAAAAGTCCTAGTCATTTTTAAACAAGAGGTCCCATAGTTTCGTTTCGCGTGGGTCCTGGAGCCGGTCCGGCTGGTGGATGGAGGGAGGAGGCGGGAAGGGGGAGGAGGCGGGAAGGGGGAGGAGTCCACGCGCCCCAGCCCTGCCCCGCCCCTTCCCAGCAGATATTTTCGCAGTGACC